GGTAGTGGAGATGGAGGTGGTGGAGGTGGTGTGGTGGTAACAGTGGTGATAGGATTGGTGGGGGTGGAGATGAAGGTGGTGGAGATGGTGGTGGTAATGGTGGTGATAGTATTGGTGGTGGTGAAGATGATGGTGGTCGTGGAGATGGTAGTGATAGTGATGATGGTGAGCGAGAGGGAACCAAGGAAAGCTGTCGTATGGAGCTCACATATTTGCACATTGTACATTTCTTTACTTTAAAAAAATTTCCAAGAGCATGTAAACGTAACTACTTGGCTAGTTAATGCTGGTCCAATAATATATACACTATTCCAACATCAGGGAAATATTTGATGACTCATTTTAGTGCAGCTTTAACTTATTTTGTCTTATTTTTTTCCACAATAAGCAATATAGTATTTAAAAGTTCATTAATCATGTGTTTATTCCACACAGCCTAATAGTTACATTGTCTTCTGGAATTGTGTGGTTTATAGTCTACATAAACTATGTAAATTTCTAGACTAAAAAATAGTCTATAAATCCAGCTGTCATACACGCAGAATACATTAGTGGATTTAAAACTTTTGTTGGAAAAATATTTATACACATTCATTGTTTTCACAATTTTAATATGTTTAAAATAAGAGTGCATGTACTTTCCCCAGCAGGACATTGTGTCTATGAAGGTGACTGCATTTAGTCCCTTTGCTGTGAGTCTGACCTTCCTTGAGACAACATCTCTTCCCAGTGAGAGCTTAGTAAAATAATCAGCAAATCTCAGAGCAGACATGTGGAACCATGGTGCTATGTCAGGTCAAGCTCTGCAATTGAGTGGTGTGATCATTTTGCCTTAAGTAAACTAAAGAAAGAATGCCATACTAATGGATTCCTAATGATATAACATTTTTCTAGCTCCATATTCAATTTTTAAGTAGGCCAGTATCTTTACGGGTAACTTCAAACTTTCTGTCCAGTCACAACATTGTCAATATTTACAAGAGAATAATTTCATCTTCAGAGCAATACTCCAGACTTTTCAAAATGCAGCTGAATGTTATGATGTTAGATT